TTAGGGTCTAGAGCTTAGGGTTGAGAGGAGGGCTGCTGGGTAAAGGCTTTTGAACTGTCCCCTTAAGCCTAAACCCTAACTAGTAGCATAGTATCATCCCCCTCCACCCCGTGAAGCCTTAAGCCCTACGCGCCCCTAGCACGCCTTGCCCGCATCCAAACCCTAAATCCGAAACCCAAAGCCCTGCACCCCATCCCCAGAGCCCTAAACCCTACAAACCCTACCCTCACCCCCCTGCCCAATGTTGCCAAAGAGGTTCTTATAATCCCCCTGAACCCTAAACCCCTAAACCCTTCACCCATAAACCCTTCTAGAATCCTTACATCATCCCCTTGTACTTCGCACCCCTATTTCCCCCTCTTCAATGTGGGAAATGGCAGTTGAAGGCTAGCGTACCTAGAATACAAGGACCTCAAGAACTACCCATATCAGTTTGAGGTCCAGGTATCTATCCTATACCATTCATGCAAGAAACATGGAGCCGTCAGAATTGTTCATTTTTGCAGCCCCTATAGTTGCTCGGCAGACCTGAATGGAACTGAGGCACTGAGAGCCAACACCCACCATCTTCAGCATTATGGCCGGAGTATTCCTCCACTTGTACGGTCTTTTGTGCGGGGAGTTGGCTTTTAGCAAAATAAGCCCTAAACAAAACGCCCCAAACCCTAAATCCCCAAGCCCTAAACCTAACACCGCAAACCTAAATCCCCAACCCCCCTAAACCCTAACTCTACCCTCAACCGGTTCAGCATTGCGGGCCCCAGCAAACCCTGTAGCTTCAAACCTTCCGGAGCCCCGCCAAAGCTCCAAGCTTCCAGTCTGCGGCTTTAAGGGGGTTTAGGGTTCATATAGTCCCCCTTAAGTAGATAGAATATGGTTTGTATGGGGATCCTATTATAATATACCCAAAGCCATACTCTATCTACTTTAGGGGGACTATAAATTTGGGATTAGGGTTTAGGGTTCTTTTGCTTCTGATGCCAAGTTGGGGCATCAAAGGCGCTGCCGACGCAGCGGCCGTTTTAGGGTTCAGGGTTTGCTGTTCAGGGGCTTCGAGGGTTCAGGGTCTGGGGAATAGAAGTTTCTCCGTTGCCGCTTCCTTCCCTGGCAAATCCACCAGCCACTGTCCGGAAGGGCAAAACTACTAGCAAAGCGAAAGCTTTGCCTTCTGCCACCACCACTGAAGGACAACACTTATTTGTGGTTTGTAAGGAATAAGGGAATATGATCCCTAGATAACCCCTACGAAATATCCCTTATTTTCTGCCAACCACCAGAAAGAAAACTGTTGTTGATAAAGGTCCAGATTCAGTGTGGCCAGGTAGAAATAGCGCGTCCTTGCATCGAGATTCCTCCCAAGGCCCTATCTAGGATGCGGTGCAGGGTGTAGGGTTCAGAAGGGGCCGGGGTGGAGCATTTTACATAATCTCAATATACCCAATATATCTCCAACCCCACTCTCATCTTCCCATTGCATTCCCATTATACACATAATCCCCACCTTGTCTCCCTCCCCGGAAGAAGCCCAAGACACAAACTTCCGGGCGTCGGGCTCAGGGCTCATGTTTCATTAGGAGCTGCATCTTAGGGCTTAGGCTCCTAAACCCTACTTGGCTATCCAAACAACCATGAATAATCAAAAGAAGCTCCAGGTGGGAAGTTTAGTTACCAGGTGGGTTCTCTCATATAAAACCCTAAACCCTAGGACTCTAAGACCTAGGCCATGAGGCTCTTACAAGTGTAAAACTGCTGTTTGAGGTGTACATACGCAATTTTTGTTGGGCACCCGCCTGATGACTCCCTAAACCCTATATCCTTTCCGACAGGTTTCCCAACAAAGCCCAAGTACCGAATAATGACATCCTTACCCCAAGCCTGTACGTCAATTTCTAATACCGAATCCCGAAGTACCCGATTATTATGGGGTACTTGGACCCTCTAAGTTTGGGTTGCCAGGTAATCCTCAAACCCTAAGCCCTGAACCCTAAACGCAAAATTCGGGCTCTAGGTTGGGATAGCAGATCCTGGACCTTAGACCTGTACTGAAACCCTGAAACCTATTCATAGGTTTTAGGGCCCAGGGTTTAGGGTCTAAGGTCTGCCGACTTTTGGGGGCGTGTTGGATGGTCTCAGGAGACGGAGAGGGTGAACACTCTTCTTTTCTTTCTTAAAGGCCTAAAACGCGAAGGGGGAGAAGGGGGCGGGGGAAGGGGGGTGAGCTACACCTTGACCCGAAGTGTCCAAGACCGGCAATAATAGGGTTTTAGGGCCCAAATACCATTAATATTATAGTACTTGGACCCTCAAAATCTGTTATTTGAGGCCTTTGTAATCCCCTATACAACCCCTTTTTAAATGAGTTCAGACTATAGCTCATTTACGTCCTTGAACCCTTAGGGTGAGGGTTCCATGAGAGCCCCAGTCCTGGCACCGTCCTCCAGCCATCGATGATCTGGGCAAGGGAATAGGCTTTGCCACTCCTTGAAGTTGACCGTAGCAATGGAGGTGGAAGGGTTAGAGTTTGGGGTTTAGAGCTTAAGGTTTGGAGTTTAGGGTTTAGAGTTTAAGGTTTAGAGTGTAGAGTTTAGGGTTTTAGAGTTGAGGATTTTTAGTCTAGGGTCTAAGGTTGAGAGTTTAGGGTGTGGAGTTTGGAGCTCAGGGATGAGAACTTGGAATGGATTTAGAGTTCAGGGTTCTCATCAGAATAGGAGGTGCTTCCTGACCCCACGAGCAGAACAAAAACTTATGGGAAATCGTGGAGAGTACCTCGCTTAGCCAGTGTAGTTAAGATACCTCAAATGGGGAACCCAGGGAATATAGCAGGACTATATTCGAAATATAGTTACCAGCCCTTATAACCTTATACGTTTGGAGGTTCCCTTTAAAGTACCTTTATGTAGGGGTGATCTTGAACCCCGCCCTCCTGTCAAGACTCTGGGCTTAAGTCGGGTGTAAGGATTAGGGTTTGGGGATGTGTTTAGGGCATATAGGGATTAGGGATGAAGGTTTGGGGTTTGAGGTCTAGAGCTTCGGGTGTAGGGTCCACCGGGAAGACCTGGCTGTTAGGAGAAGTTACACTTTCGCTCGGGGAACATACATCCTCGCCGTTTACAACTACAAAAACAGGACAAAGTGGCTAGCGCTGGAGATTTGGCTGGTGGGCTTGGGGGAACGGCCTGCCGACAAGTGTTCTCGCCGAGCGTTATCTATAAGAGTGCGTGCCCAAACCCACAAAGTAGGTGAACTAATGGCCCAAAATGGCATTGTTCTACATGTTTTTGGGGTCCGGGTAGTTATGAGAGGCTTGAGGATATGACCTGGGTATAACTTCTTGTGCCCTTACCTCCTCCATCGGTAGGAACGCAAAAGCCCCAAGCCACAAGTCGTAACCCAACAGGGATGGAGACTACTACATTACTAGGGACTAATCCAATCCCCCATTACATACTAGCAACCAGCAAGATGAGATCATTAAGCCTTCCCTCTGGACAGGGCTGAGGAGCATGGAGAAGCTACCGAAGCGGTGCAAAAATCCGTTTCAGTGTGATGCTTATAAACCAAGCCTGAAACCCTAAACCTTAATACCCTAGAACCCTGATACCCAAGAACCCTACACTCTAAACCCTGATCCCCTACAACCCTAAACCCTAAACCCTGATGCTTGAACCAGTCTCACGAAGATTCTTTAACGAGGATGCCGATGGTCGAGTAAAGGGACTTTAGTGGGAACCCCTAAGGATAGGGTTCGGACCTAGTAGGAATATAATGGGTTTAGGGTTTAGGGTTTAGGGTTTAGCGTTCAGGGTTTAGACCTAGTAGGAATATAATGGGTTTTGGGTTTAGGGTTTGGGGTCAATCATACAGTAGGACCTGGTAGGAATATAATGGGAATATACCTACCAGGGTCCTTTATATACCATTATACTCCTAGAATGCTCTTGAGGTTCCCTGTCTGAAGTTCCCATTAAAACCTTGAACCCGAAACCCTAAATAACCCTGAATCCTAAACCCTAAACCTCCTTTAAGTCAAGGCTCGCTGTCTTCGCCGTACTTCCTGAGGCAATTACGGGGAGCAAAGCTGATCGCCCGCGCGGTGGCGTTGCCAATGTCCACACCCTGTGTCAGAAGCCTGAATTTAGGGTTTAGGGTTTAGGGTTCAGGGTTTAGGATTTAGGGCGTAGGGTTTAGGGTTCAGGATTTACAGTTTAGGGTTTAGGATTTAGGGTGTAGGAGGGCGTCTCAATGTCCAATCTTGAAACCCAGGGGCCGGGGATTCTGTTATATCCACTATATACCAAGTATGTACCCTTCAGGGTCCCTAGAATCCCCCGTGAAAGGCCTAAGGGCCTAAGGACCCATATAAGGGGCCCATACCCTAAACCCTAAACCCTAAACCCTAATCTGAATCTCCTTAACACGGCTAGGGGCAATATCGGGGGCCCATACTTCTAACCTCAAACAGTGGGTCGTCTTACGCAACAATCCTGGCCAGACTTTCAACATGACTCGGTTTAGGGTCTTAATCTGAGGTATGGCTTTGTTGAGTGGAAGGTTTGGGTGTTCGGCTTGCAGAAAAAACCCAAAAGGGCACCAGTTCTGAGAAACAACCTCGTCATGCGCTCATCGGGCTGGAATGGCTTCCCCTTCCTTGGGCACGTAAGGGAGCAGCAGTAGTTATAACATCTATTCATGGCAGTAATGATGTGTCTTAGGTTATCTCATCATTCACGAACCAGTCCTAACATGCTACTGCCAACTATCTTTCATCCTAGATTCTTGATGCCGATGGCCATGAGGTTCCCGCGCAGTTCCGGGTCAAGGAAATCAAGGGGTTCCCGCTGAATGACAGCATTCACCTCCTCGGCCAATGCTTTCTTACCACTGTTGATACGAAAAGCCTTGCCCCTGAACCCTAAACCCAAACTCTTGACCTTGGGAATGATGGTCTCATAGTATAACATGTTTTTGCGGAGTTTTTGAATATCAACAACATAATAATTTGCTTCCAACGATTCTTACTGTGGTCGCTTTCACGAGATCTTGGTGTGTTAGTGCACTTCTTGGCTTCAAAGGACAAATGACACCTCTTCAGTCTTGCTTCTTCTGTTGGGGTCACAGAACCTCAAAACGCTTTCTCAACAAGATGCAGGCCTTGAAAAAGCCGAAGTCGTTGGAATGTACCGTGTTCATCGTCTTGCCGGACGTATTGATGAACTCCATTTTGGGTGGGCTCCCAGCCTTCGCTAGCGGATAGATTTTCAAGCCGTCCTTCCACATCTTGGCTGCATGGTCTGGGCGTCCCTCTTTCAGGAAGCCCCTCAGGATAACGAAGTTCGTGTACGTAGGGGAGTGGGCAACATAGTAGCCCTCCGGAATCTTGCCCTCGAAGCCAGGTGGCACCTTAACTTCTCAGGGTTTAGTATCTACTGTTGGGCATTGCCATTGATGTGGAGGTGTAGAGGCAGGCTTCTCGGACAATGCTAGACCACTGCGTGTGGGCAATTCTGAAGTTCGAGGGTGCGGATACACTTTGTTCTGAAAGAATAAACCCTAAACCGCGTAAAAAAAAACAAGCCTGAGTTATTCAAGACCCACGGTTTTGAGAAAGCTGCGCCGGTTTTGGTGCAGCCATACATACACCGAAGCCTTCATCCCTGACAAATAGCCAAGTAACAATCAGGCACCCCTTATTTCAGGAACATAGCATAAACACATCAGGGGGGTTTCTTGGTATGATTCAACGTACACCTATACTACCCCCCTAGGTTCCCCCCATAACTAGGTTTATGTAAGGATAATTCTAAACCCCAAACCCCCTATATTCCTCAAGTAAGGGGTATTGGGCCCTCTGCGAAGCGGCCGAGGAACAATCAGGTATTTCCCTCCGGCTCCCTTGTCGGGACCAGGCGGGCCCATATCCGTCACAAAGCCTTGCTCTCAAGGCTTCAAACTGCCATGCGAACTGTTTAGTCAGCATTTGCGGTATCTGGACACCAAACTTAAGTAAAACGATGGCCAAAACAACCAAAACAACATACAACTACTCAAAAAAAAACCTACAGACTTAGGGGTCCAGGTATGCGCTGTTTGTGGCTGCGGTTTGGGTTTTCCCGTAGGATAGCGGCATGCCTTTGGCCTAAGGTGCAGAAAAATCGAACTCTCGCTGGCAGGATTTCCAAATTTTACACTCCTAAACCCTAAGCCGTTTAGGGTTTAGGGTTCAGGGTTTAGGGTACCCGCAAACTCCTAAACTCTAAACCAAAATAACGGGAACCAAGAAGGAACCACAACTTTGTTAATCTTTCCAGATAGACAGGTTCCCAGGAAGAACAGTCGTCGATAATACCCGGGGTAATGCGGGATTGTGTATACACCCCTCATACTTATATTAGGCACCCCCCACGCCTGACTACTAAACGTGCACCCAATATATGGGGTCTTTGATGCGGAATATTTGATATTAGGGGTTGGGGGGTGCGTATTTATCATGAGCCCTAAGCCCTACTGCAAGCCCTAAACACAGTACTTGCCATCTACTGACTTTTGCATTCCTTTATCTACCCCTCCAGAGCCCCTTCAAGCCGGGGGTGTTTTGTATTAGTATGCACGGATTATCCGGCAGCAACTTCACCCTGGGTTCAGGGTTTAAGGTGAAACCCTAAAGTTGTCATACACCTAGAACCCCTCGTTTCCATTCCATGTTCTTGCTTTTCCATTTAGTTCTTCAATATTGGTGCTTGATATTGGGACTGTTGATATCAAGATCGGGCATGATACCGGAAGTCTCAAGGTCTAGGGTACTTAGCGTCATGCAGGGTTTTAGTATCAACCCCTTAACCCCGAACCCTAAACCCTAGACCCTCAAACCCTAACCCTAAGGCTCAAAATAGCCCAAAAACCTAATACAGTATGGTCTTTTGGCCCAAATGCCTTATAATATGAGTCCTTAGAGCTTTAGGGTAAGCCCTGAACGGGTCATGAAGCCGAGATACGAAAGTACGCATCGTTCACGGTGCCAGGTCCAGCTCCACCGGGCACGTCAATGACAGTGGGTCCATCCTTGTAATTAGGGTTTGGGGTTCAGGGTTTAGGGTTTGGGGCTTCGAATTTGGGGTTTAGGATGTACTCTGAACCCTAAACCCTAAACCCTAAACCCGAAACCACGTTGGTCTAGGGATGTCTAGGGTTTACGGGTTGAGGGTTTGAGATGAGACGGTTTTAGTTTATCCCAACCCCTAAAAAAATGCACATTCCCAGAGGGTCCCTGTACCCAATCATTAGGTCCTTGGGATTAGGGTAATAGTACTTATAGTATAGGTTTGGGGTAAGTATATGATTATTGGGTACTTGGTCCCTTAGGGATTATTATGCGCATAGGATAGCTTCAGGATTCTTGTTATAGGGGTTGGGGTAACCCAAACCTCCTTGTTCTCTTTAGGGTCTAGCTTTTCAGGTGTAGGGGCAGGGTTCAGGGTCTATGGATTCAGGTTGAAAGGTTTGGTTTTAAGGCCTCGATGGGAATGAGGGAATGGGGTCAAGGAATACCCTAAGGCTCAAAATAGTATAGAGCGTGGTCTTCGGGCCCAAAAGCCTCAAAATATGAGTCCTTAGAGCCTCAGGGATACAAGCCTGATTATGAGGCAAGTTGTGGGGACTGCTATGGAGGTTCTCAAAGAGATCGACAGTACCCTTCCCGGCCGAACATGCTTCTCTAAATTGGGGTACCCCAATGTAGACCCCAATATACTATAATCGTTATTATAGGGACCCCCATAATGGTACCCCTAATTTTGGGAACCACCCCATATGCATTCAAAAAGCAACAAACAAGCTTTCCACTATTGGGCATGTGCGGAGTTGCCGGGTTCACAGTGTGTGGGTTCCAGGGAAGGAGTTTGCCTTCAGAAATAACATTACAGCCCAAATTTTGTCTTCTAAGCTGTATGACAAGCCAGTCGCATTACGTCCAGAAATACAAGCCCTTGCTATGTTGTGATCCCTGTTTTTTTTGGTGCGATACCCTAAACCCTAAACCTTGACCCCTAAACCTTGAACCCTAAACCCTACACCCTAAACCTTAAACCCTAAACCCTAAACCCTATAATCTAAACTCATGTTTACATTCTGCTTGTGCATCCTGGGAATCCGAACATCAGCCCCAGAAAGGACAGCGCCCTCCACAGGTTTAGCTCGAAATTCCTCCCAAAAGGCCTTCAACCCCAAGCCACGAAACCTACACCCTTACCCTAAACCCTAAAACCCTAAACCCCTAAACCCTAAACCCTACACCCCAAACTTCGCCCTAAATCCGAAGCCCTTTCACCCCGAGGACCCTAAACCCTCCAAACAGTTCGGCCACCTTCTCCAGATTGATGCAATTACAGACGTAGACGGTATCCGTGTTCCTAAGCTGTTCTCCTAGACCCGCCCCTCCCCGCTTTTAGGCTTAACGCTTCCACGATTCGGGGCCCTATCTTCCCAATTAAGGGTACTAGGAAAGTCGATCGGGGTTATAGTAGCATCCTTGAGCCCGTGAATACGGTCGAAGTACCTCCGCTAGGGGTTTAGGGTTTAGGGTTTAGGGGCTTGGAGGACCTATTGTTGAGCTATATGAGGTCTGCATCGCCAGGTGCGCGATTCGAGCTTAATTGCACTGGGGTTGCACTCTCTCAAACATAATATCTACATGACCCCCCAGGTTTTTAGTGGTCTCCCCAGTTAACTATTCATCTGCAACAATCATGGGGCTACTACCATGCCCTCCCGGGTAAATGAACACCCGCATTTCAAGGGCATAGCGCAGGCAAATTGCAGCACGTCAGGGCGCATTAGGCCGTGTTAAGGTCCTTTGAAAAACGTCTCTGCGAGGACCTGCAAGCCAAGAGGGAGTACCCCGACCATTCGGGTTTAGGGTTTAGGTTGGGTACTGCCCCCCTCACTAACAGTTGGATAATCAATCTAATATGGTTACATATAGCCCTTAATAGGACCCCTAATATAGACTGTTACTGGGTGGGGGCAGTACCCAAGGTTTAGGGTTCAAACCCAGAATGCAAGCCGTCAAGCCCATCATTTGATGGGGTGTTAAAGCCATCATCATGGGTATTTGGGAGGTCTAGGTCTTTGGCACACAGGCTCGAAATTGAGAATTAAAAAAAGGATGGTCCTAGGTACCCTGATCCCTGGCTGGGCGTGTAGTCAAATTAGGTTTTCCCGGATTTCAGCATCAACAGTAGCAATCAGACCACGTCGCCCTGTCAGGAATAGGGAGTGGCTGTCCATGAGAGTATCGAAAACAATCACCTGAGCGGCGAGAGACTACACTATCTTATCAAGACATTGTTGATGCAAGCAGTCTTGCATCACCCTACTTTAGTCCCTACTGTCCTACGAACTACAATACTTAACGGACCCTAGGTGGTGCAAGATGTCCTCCATCAACCACATATTCCCCCCAGGGCCCCAAGCAGAAAACCAACTTTGCGACCCTAAACCCTAAACTGTAAAGAAGGTGGGTCTGAAGCAAGGCGCCAGTTCCGCTGTAAAGACGGAACATGCAAGGATTGTATAAGGAGAACTTAGGGGATATGTTGGGTTGTATAGGGCATATCTAGGGATTATACAGGGAACATATAGGATACATATATATATATATATAGATATTAGTGGATAGCGTTCCTTTCTATATATACATATAGGGGATATGTTGGGTTGTATAAAATTATATAGAGAACTATTTGGGGATTAAAAAGGGCTGATACATAGGGGTTATAGCGGGCTGCGCTTTGCCACCACATGTCCAGCTGTCCTACTAGCAGGAACCTTGGGGTAGGCCTGCCTTTGGTATGTCATGTAGAACTAGGGTTTAGGGTTTAGGGGTTTAGGGTTTAGGGTTTAGGGTTTAAGGGTTTAGGGTTTAGGGTTTTAGGGTTTAGGGTTTAGGGTTTAGGGTTTAGGGTTGTCATGTAGAACCTGAACTCCTTGAGACCTGGCCCTCGTTTTGGTACAAGAATTACTGCCATGTACTAAACAATGTCATCCATTAACCCTAAATGTTCAACCCTAAACCCTAAACTCTAAACCCTAAACCCTAAACCTTAAACCCTAAAGTCTAAACGATTTTGAGGTCTGCTGAGTCTGCTGCTCAATTTCGTCAGAGCTGCTTCCACTTCGCTTTACTGAAGTTTATGGGGGTTAGAGTTTAGGGGTTTAGGGTTCCCCTTTTGAAAGCCCCTAATCAGAAGTAGACTTTTTCAGGGTACAAGGGGGAAGCTTGTGAGAAATACCGCTACGATTCTTGCACGTTCTGAACCCTAAGCAGAAAATCCTTAACTTGACCCAAAACCCTACATACCCTAGGTGGACCCCCCCACCCAAGATTATCAGGACTATACCTATAG